ACCTGTATCAAAAGCGTAACTTTCAACTACATTATAGGTCTACAAAATAAAAATTACTCAATTTCGACACAAACCCTGGAGTACAAAATTTGAGAAATACACGCAAATCGTTAACAATTCTTATTTTCTTCGCCATATTTTGATCTTTGATACTTAACAAGGTAACCACAGAAACCGGGGAAAAATAGATCATGGTGACCAGTCACTTCGGCTCTCAGAAACACGTGTGAAGTACCCACTGAGCGATTTTATCCAAAACTGGGATGAGTCGACAATTTTAGTAAAATTATCCAATATCACGTTTCGTGAATCTATGTTCTCGAAATATTTCTTAAGGGTACATTCAGACGAGCAAATGGGTGGACTGATGTTAGTATACTCTCCGCACGAATGCAAATGTACATAAAAGCTGAATGAAAATTACGGTAAACTTACTCATTGTGACAGATCTTACGACATAGGTTTAATTATTGAATTATTTACATCATACACAGAAATATGTGGACCACACCATTTCATTTAAGACAGTTATAAATTTATTACAGTAATAATTATGAAAGACTGAAGGTGGAAAAAAAGAAATATTATATTATTAATACTTTTATTTTTATATTTGTACTTGGAATGCGGGGGACATAAGAAGCAAGTTTCTATCGTTTACATCTGTCATGTGTAGCGTAATATAAGGTGAGGCCATTTATTCCTGTACGAAACAGATGATCTTTTTCATGCCGAACTCAAACTTGCTTATGCGAGAGTCTGACCTGTTTCTAGCTGGTGACATACAGTAGTCAATTTTTCACAAGATGAAGACCAGTTACCACATTGGAAAAAAACAAGTCCCTTGAAGTATTATGTAAGTACTGATAAATTATAATAATATTCAAATCAAACACATAATTAATTATTATTCATGTGATAGAAGGACCCAGTAATTCCCATAAATAATCAACGTCCACTTCTGCTAGGCCCCTAACACAAAATCAACTAAATCATATACATTTACTACGTTTATATTTTGTAGAACTTCAATATATTTTAAGTCTTTTGCATTTCTTAATTTTAAGCTAACTGAAGTCCAATGATATTGATGGTATTCGTACTGGTGTCTGTATTCCTAGCCGTATTTCACTTTGCAATAAACATTTGTCCTAAATTTCTTTAAAAATGCAGCAAATTTTTAAATTATTTAATAAATCGACACAAATAACGTCTTCTGCGAGCAAGGATCGAAGACAACTACCAGGTACGGAAACGTGTAGACAAATGGAAATATTAGAAAGTAATTTATGTCTTGATTACTCTTGATATACACCTACGATTAATGACAGTACACAGTGATGAGTTCACTACAAGAATTACAATCTGAAGACAAATTCTGGTATATCGTACATAAAAGTCCATTGCCAATTTCAATTTAAAGAGTTCTTGTTACCACTTCAAGTTTCCTAGCTTTTGCCAAAAAAAATTTATTCCTACGAATGAATAAAACACCAAGGAATTACCTAAAATTACACGCGTATACTGGATTTCACTTTTTATATTACTATACGTACTTAGCCACAGATTACAAACTAAGATTGACATTTTTATTTTGCTTCAAATCATTACCTATAACAAACGCACAACATCCCAACCGTCAGAAACAACTTATGCAACGTAAACTGATCAGAGAATAAATTGTAGGAAATATGTTCTCGATTTTTTTGTCGTGCGAAGTTCAAACAGGGTGAAGATATTCCTTCACCCTTATGCACGGCTTTGCTTGGGAGGTTGCTAGCGTGGCTTAAATGCATCATATAACAAACTACTCCACCCTTTGAAATGTACCACTTTTCCAGGGCGTTCCCAAGCTCTCTTCACAGCAAAAAATGATATCTCCTTCTTACGGACACACCCAATTGCAGGCAAAAAGAATAAAATAATATCTCAAGGATTACCTCCCCTCTTGCATTGAGTGTGTAAGGGAAACATTCAGCCATGATGATTCTGCAGACCGTGGAAGACTAACACAGGGGGAGATTCTCTGCTCTGCCCTGCCCTGCCCTTATACGTAAGTGTACCGAGGCGGTGGTCACAATGATTCCACACCCCAATACAGGTTTGCTGGCGTCGTCTGAAGACAACAGTCTCGCTTGAGTGAGGGGTTCAGCTGAATTCTGTGCTGCCAGATTAATGAGCGTCCAGAAATAAAATGAAGATTTTCTCAAGAATGAGCGAACCTTCTTGTGTGTCGCAGTTTAACGTTCAACCATCAACGTATTCAACTTTGCGTTGGAATGATAACCGAAATGTAACTGTCACCATCAGACACGAGAACCAGAAGACGAATGGAAGTACGAAGATGGCGACCAGAGCGGCGGAAATTAACTTGCTGAAGAATTGCCAACGATTACCGACGTGAAACACGTAAAATAATGTTAATGAATACAAAAGTAATATATAAACATATCTCAGACACGCGATAACTTTATTACCGACAACATATTTTAAATCATATTAATTTATAAATTCTTGTGAATAATAAACGTATCTGTGCTAAAATATTTCTTATTATAAAATATGTTATGAACATTCAAAAATATTAATTTCCACCAAATGTTGCTTGTCTCAACGTATTTTAAATTTGTATTCATTAAAGACGTTCCTGAATGTTCTGTATAAACATTTATGTATTGTATATATATTTCATATGAATATGAAATATCTGAAAAAAAATAAAGTTATAAATTGAAGTTCTGGTCTTATTTGATATCATGCTCTACACCTTAAATATTACTTCCCTACGCAGCCTACAAACATTATAACTGATATTAAGACAAGAAGAACATATTATTTCACGATAAAGTCCATCAGACGCGGCTTTTGAAACTGACAAAGTAAGTATGGATAATTTCGTTAAGTTAAATGACGTAACCGAAACAATTACGAAACGATAACTGAATTCTATTTCCACGGCTTCATAAAAAGAGATAATGTGGCAAATATGAACAATAATAAATCTTATACTAGTAATATTAATGTCTGTTATTGTATAAACGAAAGCATCTAACAGAAATATAATTCTACGGTCATTTAAATTTATTAACAAACTAATAATAGCCTAATTTAAATCACACTTGTGTATACAAATAAATTATGCATTTGTAGATGTCGCTTTTGGTCTTTTGGGTTATAACGGCGTGTGAGCCTCTAAGTAGTTGTCAGTGCTTCGGAGAACATACTGCCTCTATCATCAGTTACTATCTACAGTTAGAAACAATTTCTATTTCTATGCACACACATATTATACGAAATTGTGAATTTATTGGCCCATCTGGAGTTATTATTATAAAAATCTCACTAACAGCAGAAAAAATGTTTTAAAATATGAGTACACAATCCGTTAAGAACGTTTGTATTTAAATTGTTTGAAGATATTAACAATGACATGTAAATTATTCTTAAAACATAGGCTGTATATATTAATTTATCACAGAAAATGGTGCATGTTAAGTCTAATTTATAACGAATCAAATACACCTGTTTTTTTAAATATAACATTTACTATTACGTAATAAAACAACACACTTTGCTCAAAATAGAAATCAGTAAACGATATTGACAAAAATACTAAAATTAAGGGTTTAAAACTGTTAACAATCCCGATATTTAAAGCAAGTACAAAATATATGGAACCTATTTTAACCAATAATTAATTCAACACGTATAATCTGCTATAAAATTGTTTAAATTCTCGAAGAAGTGTGAGAAGCTTTTAAGGAATTATCTTGACCCTACGTAATAGAGAACTGCGATGTTAATAATCTACACTGTCGTAATGTATCACGTTTTTCGTTCAGGAGCACAGCCAGTGGCGTCCGGGCAACTGTCCGTGTCCGAGCCCCAGAAGTTGCGAAAATTCTGCCGAATGGAAGCATGGGTACGATAAAACATTTATGTTTGTTTGTTTGTTAATCGAACTTTGCGAAATACCACAAAAATAATTCACATTAACATTTTATTCTCTTCATTATAAAATATATCAGAAACGTTTCCTTGTAAAATCCTCCATTCTGTGTGGGCTTCTAAGTTGAAAATAGGAAATATTTATTTCAGGACTGAAGAGCTTCATACCACCGCGAAACAAGTCTTATAGGCATAAGTGAAATTTTTTTCGATTTTGTTGTAGTATAACTAATTACAGATCTACGCTTTTATATGAATTTAAATTTTGTAAAGTAGAAATGCATTTAATTAGAGCCTTCGTAGTTACAATGTAGGCTCATGGGTTATGAACCAAACTGTAGGTGTCATAGTTATGAAAATACAAAAACACGATGCTATAAAATATTTTGAACAATTCCTGAGAACCGAACCCAGAACGCTTTTGTTAATATAAACCGAAGGACAGAAGATGCAAGGGACGAATGGCAAATGGAATAATTAAGCAGTACGATACAATAATATTTTAATGTTTTACGCGGAGCTGAGGTATTTGTATCGAATTTGAGTTACATATATCTTACACAATTTACTTGCAAAATTTAATAACTTACTGTTATTATTATCTCTGGAGTAAATAACAATCATAATTCAATAACTGGATCTTAGGGGAAGCTTAAAATATATTTAAACAATCCAATTATGCTTTAAATATTTATATGTCGCGTGAATACCTCAAATTTGTTTTGGAAAAAGTAATTTATATTCACAGTTTAAAAATTACTTAGATTTTATTATGTTATTTTTCAAAATTCTTGAAAAAGTGATGTGATTTTTCGTTCGATACGTCAACACGTTTATTTCTGTTGTTTACAATGTACCTGAAATATGGTGGTTTGCAAAGTAGTAAATTTATTAATGCATCATAAGTTATTGCATCAAAGTATGATAAGTGATGGTAAAGTCAAGTTACACAAACTTTCATCACTTTAACGTCATTGTGCCTTAGAATTACGTCTCACAGGTTTCCAGGAACATAAACAACAATCAAGTATGGCTTCATTTGTATTACTCACCAATTGAAGATCAGGAAACCCCATGTAAAATGAAGGCGGTTCCAGCATCTGAAAGGTTAATTAAATCAGTTCAGTTAGTTTTTATTTCTATCCAGTTACACAGACCGCAATCTGTAAAATATTTCAAAGTTACAAATGCAAGGTAAGTGTTTCACAGATGTAGATTGTTTCGTCTTAGAAACTACAAATTGATCTGTAAAGACAAATTTGACTTTTTTGCTTAAATAGCACGTAACTACGTGGAGAATCCGTGACTTCGACATCACCGGAGCAATAGGCAAAGATCAAAATTAAAATCCTTACAAACACTACCAAATTATTACATTGTCCATACATTTGCTAACGTATTTCCAAATCTCTCTTTATAAATAATGCTCATAAGTATCCCTCGTCTATCTGAAAATTCAGACTATCTCTAAGAACTGACTATTTGAAGTTATGTAATTAATTTGTCTTATAGTTTGTGCAGATTCAACACCCAGTGAAATCTGCAGCCATACTTGGTATGTAGTGTGTAAAGTCACTGCGTTATAAAAACATATCAATATTCAATTAGAAGCAAAGTATAAACAATTTTCTCGAAGTATCACACTTCTTTCAGTAAAAGACTTAAATTATTAATTATAACATTATTGCTCTATTTGATATTACAACCGATTGCTGGTATTTTATTCAGAAAATTAGTTAATACTGCAAAATTATTATCACAGTCATCGCCATAATCATCAACTACAGCATCTTATTCTTCTAACTAAATCTCACATTTCATTCTTCCAAAGCCTTGCTACTGCCTTAACAGCAATCATTTTAACGACATAAAAGATAAAATAATCAAAATTTATAACATTTCAGCATCAAAGTATTTGTAGAGAATTTATAAATTAAAATATTCCTTGCCCTGAAGATGGAGACAGTATGGTTCTCCGAAACTTCGGTATCAACCTACGAATTCACACGGTGTCACACTCCAGATCAACCGCATCGAAAAATTTACCGCCGTGTGAACCTCAAATATCAAGAAGACTTGTTCAAAAACTTTAATGTTTAAAGACCATATTCTTAACACTGTATTTCTTACAGAAGATAATATTTACCTTAATAGGTTTTAATAGACGTTAACACACTTTAAAAAGAGCACGTGAAATATATGGAACATTTGGTACTATACAAATTATAAATCTGAGAACACATCCATTATCGTCCAAGAGGAAGGACGCAATATATTCCTCCGAAACATTGGAATCTATATAAAAGTCGACGTGGCGTTACAACTCAGAAGACAAAAATCGACGATATGAATTTAGTGCAAAACCTAACATCATTTTGTTCCTTTCCTTTCACTATTTGGGTGCATAGATCTTATAGCGTAGTCTTCAAGAGAAAATTACAGGTCAGGATCATTAGTTTATGTAATAGACAAACAGCGCGTTTATTCATAAAGTTAAATGCATGACTCTGTGACACAATGGTTAATATAAGTACCCTACCAACTTATGGTGTTAATACCTCTCGTCTTAGAAGCTGTATAATATAGAAGTGAACCACGATCTCAGCGTACACAATTGTAAGTAGCTCACTATCGATATCTGACTAAATTTGGCAAGTGATGAAGTGATATAGGACATTCGGGGCAGACTTATTTCTCACAAAATGTTTCTCAACCTTAACAGGTAAGAACCTGGGATAATTGTATAAAATATAATTATTCCGCATATTTTTATTTGCAGCTCCGACTTTGAAAATATTTTATAAACCTTGCGTCAAAAACCAAGAATACGTATATATTTTATTTTAATTTTAAATTCGTTGTATTTATTGCTTACTGTGATAGCTCTATGTCCTGGATGTGAACAGAAAGCGTTAATGTTTTGTTTCTAAAACAACTTTTTCTTCCAAAATCTGCGTTTTCAATATCTAATCGAGAAACATAATAAAATGGTAGGAATGAATTGGCAGTAGGAATTTAAATATGTTTAAATTATAATTCCATTAACTTTCATATGTGCCAATGTTTTACTCGGGCGTGGAAGCCGTGTAGAATAAATGCTTACTTTTACATTTAAACGCAAATAAACATGTAATACATGTAGGCTATATGATCACAACACAGATAATATATTATTCCGATATGCGAAATCGCGTCAGGTTGTAAAATAGAGAATATTATTAAAATTTTATTGGCCTCTAATTTATAATCAGGTCCCATATAATTTAGAGTGTCTAAACGAAGTTCTTATTATCACTGTTGTTTTTAATTTGTATGGTTGGAACATTTCATACGGATTTAAAAGAATAATCCACAATCCGATATCGATATATTCATATATTTTAGATCATTCGTAATCTTACAGAACAAATGTCACAAGTTAAAATAATTGTTAAAAATATAAGTTATTTACATTATCTAAAAATTTTATTAGTAGACATATATTAATCTCTTGTTTCACTAGAAACTTTAAGATCCTAACACCATAAACCTAGCGACATTTCGAGTTTTCAGGGCGGCGAGCATAAACATGACAATTTTCTGCCGTGCAGTCTCGTAGGAGTAGACGGACGTTTCAGAAATGCGTAATGCTTCCATCACCATAGCCCTTGTAATGAAGGAATTAAAACATCAGCTTCTACGAGACTGCACGCCGCACCATCAGAGAAAAAATAAATCATAAATCTGCATCAAAACAGAAATGTAGGGCCTCAACAAATAAAATAAAATGTATCGGCAAAAGTGATTCCAATGATACATTTCCTTAAAAGTAGATTTTTCTTTGTAGAATAGCAAATGTGTTATGAAGAAGACACATAATTAAATTATTCAATTTCGAAGGTTGGCTTAGATTATTACAGGGCAGATATCTTTATGGACAATAATAGCCATGGTTAATCTCACTGAATTTTGACTTCCGCGTAATATGAAATGATGAAGATCATACCAAGTACCAAGGCTGAAGTGTAAGAGCTGAGGAATAATTTCGCCGTCCTGTCAAACAAGATGTACTGGTGTGACAGCCACGATGACGTATTCACTTATTTCGCTCTTAAAAAGTAATAAATACACATTCACGTGTTGATAGACGCTCAGCACTTGAGGATCGTTTGGTTCCCTCATAAACAAATATTCTCTTTTTTGAATGTCAATATGTGATGTGATTTGTAAGATGTAATAACAGGAACGCTGTTCCACAAATCACCCTTCAGTTCTATAACTGACTTTTGGTAAGCATCTGAAAGGGAAACGTAAATAATGGCCGAAAAACTAAAATAAAAATAAAATTATGTGTTTATGGATGTTAATACCAGTTTCAGAAAAGACCGAATTCTTTTAACTATGGCAATTTCATAGTTCATCCTTTCTGAGTTTCGTGGTATTTAGTGAATTATAGCACACGCTATACAACGTCAGTCACACAGAAGCCACTTTCTTGATATTAACTGGAATACTCTCAAAAATAAAAGCAGGACGACCATGCAACGTTCTGAGGAGGACACAACACTAAATTTATGCATTATTACAAAGTGTAAGGCATTTGAAAATCTGAAGTTGCCAAAATACTACATCTTCAACCAAATAATTTGGAAATTGCCTATCCAGGCCTCATTTATAGATCTCTCCATCTTTTCTTCTGTCATCTTACACCTAACTTTGAAGTTGCCGTTCAAATTTCATTTTAATTTCGTCTATTTTTATTAAATAAAAATATATTTATTTCTGTGTGTTTTCTTATATTATTCTCTATATTCTACCACTAAGTTTAACAGTTCTTATAAGTTTAATATAGGATATCAGTGCAATTTATTCGTTGAAATACATAAAAAAATACTTCTCGGTGTTTCATATACCAAAGTTTTTACGTAATGTTTATAATATGCCGAGAAAACACATTTCTGTAGGTCGAGTACTGGTCCAATCTACAGAGTTTCGTTACTTTTGAAGATGATGAAGGCAGCAAGGACCTCTAAAACGTTGGTAAATTTCTACCAGACTACACGGCGCAACAACCCAGAAGACAGCGATCTTAATAATAACCGTAGTGAAAACCTCAAATCCTGCATTAATTTACTTCAGAGCAGCCATGATTTATAGAACTTGTTAGTGTGAAACTGAAAATTTATTTAAAATATGGTAATTTGTGACAGCAAATTAGTCTTGAAACAGTTACCAGTTTCAATTCATTCTTCCGCAGAAGAAAATTACAAATTCGAAGTAAAATCAGTTGCACAAAAATTATGATATTTTAACTGATATATAACTGTAAAGAAGTAACTCTTAAATCAAAGTTACCCAACGGACGTGTCACATAGAATCAAACCCCTTAACATTTTGAAACAAGAAATTCATCTAATAAACATTAAAAAATTCAGTCTTTACCTCATTGAAAAAAATAAGGCGTGTCCATTACATAGGTATATGAATTGGTCAATCCTGTTAGGGGAATATTCTGTTTTTTCTATTTTTTTCTGGTAATCATAAGAAACCCAAAAAACCAAATTTGAGAAATTTCATGTAAGACAAGTTTATCCCTCAGTTTTGCAGTTTTACTTTTGCATCTCTTACAATATATTTCTCTATGTAACGTTTAACTTTATAATTCAACGCTAACAATACTTTAAAGCGGCGAATATAAATAATCCTACATTGTACCGCTACAATATATTTAATACGTGATTCCACCTGCTTTACTCGTGAACCTATTACACATTGTCAACGGATGAATGGTGGAAGCCTAAGTTCAGTCGTTAACTTGACTTCTCAACATTGCGAACAGTTCACATTATCATGACTGACGATAAATGAAACTGGTGAAATGTGTCAAGATGAAATCCAGTCCGATTCCGACTAAATTGGAACTAAATTTATATTCACACTCAAATAACAATTAATAAATAAGAAATAATACAGTATTTAAGGATATAATAAAACGTAAAGTGAGGTTAAGCACCACGCCATACAAAAATATGGCGAAATGGAGGTTAAGATCCACGCATTCTTAACCTCGGCACTAGGTTCACACCAGTATTTAACGC